AAGAAAACAGTTTACATGAAATTTTGCTGAATATTACAGTATAGATGACAACTGCCTAAAGTTGCTCTTGGCTAAATTAAACTTTCTTTAAAATATCCATTCAAAGACAAACGTTTCCTTTGGTTTAGAATGATACAGACTGACCCTTTAATCTCCGAGCCTGCTTTTCACAGCTAAGACTGAGTGGAAATGTGTGTCTTCATAATATCTCTTCTTTAAAGCTAACCCTAGAACGTCCTCAATAAACCCTTTCTATCTTTATTCGCTTTTAATTGGAAAATTGCCAGCCTAGTTACAGAATGAGACACATAACATATTAATCCCTATCATGAATATTATTTCTTTGACATTGACTGTACGTCTTTTATTCTCAAATTCAATGTTTCATCTGAGGTTTGACACTTGGCTTTTAACAGAGAAGCCACAGAAAATTGCTTTCTCGACAATAAAAAGAACAAAAACAAATACAATGTAAGAGAATCGATCAATTATAGAATTGATATTGATTAATATTGATCTGTCGGTTGCATTGTTCGCTCGGCCAATCTAATAATAAAATAAGTTTACTTTAGACACGGTGATAAAACGACTAGATGATCGATAAGTTATTGTCGGGCACGGTACAGGGTGTCGTCGTGGTGGCCGTCAAACTACTCTTTGATTTCTTACACTACGTAAATCAACAATTAATACGGTAGGCTAGATTGTCCAGTAATCTACAAAGCCATAGTAAAAGTTACAATATTGCATAGAGTTTCTGTAGATAATTTATCGATCCATACACACTATAGCATCTTGTAAGCCTAATTTATATTACTTATTTTTGGTTTACCGTTATTGCAGAGATGTTATCTTTTTTCTATATTTTATCACTATTACATGACCTAAAACTAGTGCAGTGGGTCATAAATTCTCACAAGTAATACAGTATTGCAGATTACTTACAATTATGTTTGCCCAAGAATGCACCTGGTGTCGTATCGTTGACTATATCGCACAGTATATAATAATCGAATTAGTGTTGTTTGTTTTATCCAGTACAAATTAAATATTAATACCGAGATATAATTTACAAATTTATTACCAGTATCCAGTGCGTAGCATTTTAATTGCTAAAGTTATCAATTGCATGTATATGCCATTAAAGTTGATCATGTAAATGCGACCTTTTTACATATAAAACAGAGATTTTGTTTCATAATGTGAAAATCAAGCTGGGACAATGTATAAATGCATATTGTCATCTGGATAGGATGTGAACGTATGCATTTTTGATTGGTCATTCAGGGGATTGGCCAGGCCCAGTCCTGGGGGTTCAAATTTTCTGAATTCACTCAGTTAGTCTAGGTATCAACCATATAAAATGTATGCCATAATATGTATATAGTAGTTCAATATTTACGACCTTATTCCTTGGTCCAAAATACGTTCATCGCTGCGACGCTGTTCTCATCCTGTCAGTACCTTTTAAAACCCTTCTGCCCGGATGAGCGAAACTCATTTGGTAGTTTTTACAATTCAGTGCCTGCCCACGAACTAAGTACTAATTAACCTACTACAGAATTGACTGTATTTATACAACATTTGAATAGCTGTAGATGAATTGTTGCAATATATAGAGGAGACATATCGTCTACCTAATGCAGTTAGACATGTATAAAATTATATTTATTGGCAATTTATCTTGTATAATACAGGCATACTACTAAACGGTGGAGTCAGTCACATTTTAATGTCATGTTATTAAGCAATTCTCGAAATTGTTTTCCTATCGTACATATTACTAGATTACTGCAAGATTGTTTCATATTTCCTAAATTGTTTCAACACTTCAAACTTGTTTATATGAGCATCGCTAACCAGGAGGTTTCGGGTTCTAGAAGATTTTCCGGCGCGATTTCCCCTTGTCGGTGGTGCAGAACGGAGTCTAGTCGAGGACGAAAAACCATGATCCCATGTACACGTTCACTTGTACGTTAAAGACCCCTTGGCAATTAGAATTCGATCTAAGAGTAGGCTGTTGTAACTGTATGCCCATCTTCATTTTCCAGTCGGAACAGAAAAGTATCACGTTAAACACCATTTGAACAGTTAATTAATTATTATACTGCAACCTTGAAAGCAATCCACGTAGTTTACTACGTTAACCTCACTTCTGATTTGCAATTTTGAATCTTTTCTCATTTTCCATTATTTTCTGCACTGATTGAGATAACGGTTAACTTTTTAAAAAATGGATTGTCCATCACTTCGGTAACTTTGTGTTTCCAAAGAAGACATTTTCTGTTTGTTTCAACTACAAATGGGGCGTTAGATATGTTATATCACTTCATTCACAATACTGATACACAGCACGGTTACATACGCCTGTATAAACTGTATACATAATACTATAGTTCACCAGACCATTAAACTAGATACAGACTGAACCTCCAATGTGTGACATTTACCCTGCTATTATTCTATAGAAATTAGATTTAACCAAATAAGATAATCTGTGAATACATTATTCAACTATGTACATTTATTACATGCATAAATACACTACTTAGAAAACAACAAAAGAGTGATGTATTCGACAGCTGTGATAACAAAACAGAATTTTTTGCCTTTTCCTTTTAGAAGTCGCCAAGTCCTTTTTCAGTCCCTGCAACTGTATTCAATATCGTTTAGGAGTATTCAAATATTTAATGAAATATTCATTGTATTGCATAGTGTTAAATAAGCTTAAGGCTATAATATTTGGTATATTCACACGGGTTGCAAAGCTTCTTGTATTTTAAAATTTGATAATTAAGGTTCAATGCAGAAAATGACATTTTTAATTAAAAGTTACGAAACACATGATATGCTAATACACAACTAGATGAGAGGGGTGGGGATATCCTACAGACCGAATGACTTTAAAAATGGCATAGGATCTAGAAAGGTAAATTATTTATGACATTTATCATTCAAATCATCTACAGCCGAGAAGCTGCAACTGTTTATAAAAAGCTAGCAGGACCATTTCTTGATATTTATGCAAGTTGATATTATCAACCAATGAACAGGTGCCTTAATTCCTTATTCCTAAGTTGTTTCTTTCATTGGTTGATATTCGTGATTCATTTTACGAAATCTCTGTGTAAATGAAAATGTCATCAATGTACTGACCTACTATAATAGTACACGGGTCTATTCATATTCAGGGCTATATTTATCCCACAAGAAAGATACACCAGAAACTACTTTGTCTACACGTCACAGAACTGAGACAATTTATTACCTACAATATTTCTTACCAGGACGCCATTCTTTAATCATTCTGCCACCAAGAATACGGCACTTTAAAAGACAACCAAAAGATCTTACATGTACTGGAAAATGACGACCGGAAACGGGTTGGGCAAACTGATTTTCAGTGTTTATTGTAATGAATATTCTACGTGTAAATTGAATTTGTAGTTTACATCTACGAGCTACACTGCACATTGTTATCCCCCTGGTAGATGTTGAGTCACTTTAAGATCTAGAACAGCCAATAAACACAATATGTCATAAGAAGGAAACATATAATCTATAGACTTCATATCGATTCTATTTGACTTTCGGCGTTACAACTTATTTAATATCATTTCATAAACTTCACCTGAATAATAGTTTACTATAAATCTATAAATGGGGTATTTATTAAAAGGTGGGAAAGGCAATGAATCATATACATTAAAGGGATATTTGGTTTTATTTCATAAGTTATTTATGAAGAGAGAGAAATAAATGGGGTTTAACGTCCACTCGACACAAACTAGGTCATTTCGGAACTAACATATGGTTTAATTTTATTTCAATAATTCGCTTGCGCATAGGGGTCTTTAGCAGTGGGAGGAAACTGTAGGACCCGGAGAAAACCCACGAGGTTGGACAGGCGACCCTACTCCTTGTCACGTACAACCGGGGATTCGAAACCACGCCAGTCGACTCAATGACAGACTTTATAATACAGCGCGCGCACGCTAACCATTCAGCCATCCAACCCCCCAAATTATTTCTGAAAAGATAAACTCAATTTAAACATGAATGGTATAGATTACTTTGTAATACCTAAAATAATGCGAGCGTTTGCATTTTAGTTAAGCGAAATATCCTTTTATGTTGTATTATGTTATTTAAGTGTCGCTTTCAGTGTAAGTTACTAGATATTACTATATATGTGCTGTTGTTCTATAAAGGACCAATATCGTGTTTTATTGAACACGTTTATTACTATGTGTGTGTGATACAATGTAATGTGATTGAGTTTAAGTATCTTATCTTATTATATATTTAATACAAGTACGTCTGAGATCCGGTATATTTACGGGTGTTTATTGTAATTGAGATTTGTTATTGAACATGAGACTGTACATTGAAAAACTCGTGTGTCTAGATACTGTATGAGCTACAGTTGCTAGTGTGGAGTGGTGACTTGGGAAGCGTTTTACGATTGGGGTCATAAAAATCTATATCTTTACATTAAAGAGGTCGGCAAGATTAGAGTTTGAGATTTCAGCAAATAAAATACTTTATTTATATACTTGCATTAAAGCCCGATCATGGTAAAGTGATCCACTAGGTTAATAACTATATCGTTTTGTGTAAACTGCATACCTCCAGACAAAGGGACTTTATCTCAAAGCCTATAAAAGATTTACAAGTAACAGTTATTGAGTGTTAAAATGCTAAACATTTCATTGCAACAATATATTATTACACATGATCGATTGTATCTATGTTTAAACTCAAGTGATTTATTAACATTGCATTTTATGCCCAATGCAGTTAACAATGTGCGGTACGTCATGGATTATTAAAACTGCATCCATTTCGCACCTTCATCGTTGTCATTATCCGCACAACAGTCCCTAGTACCTTCACATTTTCAGTAATATTGTTTTTCATTTTTGGTGCTTCATCACGCAATCAATTTATCCAAACCATTTATTATTCTTAATTTAATTATTTTCTAATTTTTATTCCAGGAAACGGTTACTGCCAAGTTAGAGTTTAGCGGAATGTAATTAACTTTGGAATACTAAAACAGAAGACCGGTGTTTAACCACAAGATTGCTTTAAGAACTAGTGAATGAAATATCAGTAGTGTGAAACCGACACGCGTATAACCGGCCCATATGTGAATTAACGTTATATTGATATCGAAGCGTAACTGTAGTGTTTGTCGCTGTTCGTGTTGAACTACTACCGTTGGTGTCTAGTTCAGCTATGCCGTGTTACACAGCGAGAGAGTAACGTGGTATAAGTCTACATTGTAGGTTATTTTATAAGGGTGATACATAACTAACAGGACATGTGCATAGAATTTATAACGTGACGCTTTATGCACCCATTATGTTCGTGTCCAACATAATTACACCTGTACAGTTACTCAAACTATAAAAAAAGTTGTTATAGACATTGGATTACGGATTAGTGTACATCTTATATCATGGACTAGTTTATTTTTTGCTTGTTAAAAATGTGCATAGGTTATCTTAGAACTTAACGCTTTATGCATGCATTACTTTGTTAAAAAGGGGTCGTATGAAAGAAGTGGTATTTTTGAATGCTAGACGCGAGCCGTGTTTTATAGACTACCGATACTCCTCCGATGTTTAATAGTGCAGAACATACTTTTAGAAGCGGAGTGCCACAAGCAGCAACCTTAGCAATTATTAGATTGTAATTCTCAATAACAGAATTATCGGAAGTTTAAAAGCAGTGTGATTTGTGATTCAGTGATTATACATCAATATTTAAAAGTGAGCGGAAATTTGTCGTCATAACTGGGATATTTCTCCATGAAGCAGTGTACAATAATGACGTTAATGTTTAGCAGGCTTGGTTAAATACTCCTATTATTAACCAACTAATAATCACATCATTTCAGATAAGATTTTAACCAAACAATGAAGAAAAGGAAATAGACTCAGAGCAAGCCTTTTAACGAACGCGAATATGAAAAGTTGACGGAAAAAATGAATCGATAATCATGCACGGATATAAATGTTGTTAAAGAAGTTAAATTCTATAGAATGTAATATGTTTTATTAACGGGAAGTTTTTATGTGCCGGTGATAAAATCTGATAAATCACGGTGATAAATAGAAATTGTGTGATTTTATTTTAAGTGAAACGAATAGTGTGTGCTGTTTTATTGTGTGTAATTATATGAAATGGATGAACAACACAATAAGAACACTATGTGATGGATTATTGGATTAGTACGGATTAAGAGGATCAACATGATTAGGATAATTTTTCTGATTTTACACGTACTTCTCATGTTTAAAACGTGGCCAGGTCAGTTTATTTTTCTTTCGTTTTTTAATGAATCTTATTAACCCAACTTTGTTAATTTGTGAAATTTCGTGTTATGCATTTTCCTGCAATGTATAGCCCCCTGTGTAATCAATATCTGCATCTTCACCAATATCATCGTCATAACCATCATCATTATTTAGGCAAACAGTATACAGTAATGTTGATGACACATCAATGTTTATTATAGACAATTTATAAATATTTTTCTCCAACAGAATAGTTCCAATTTCGTATCTTTGTTAGTAATATATACTTTCGTCCAATTTGTTATTATAATATACTTTTCGTTCAATTTGCTATTACAATATACTCTCGACCAATCTGCTATTACAAAAACTGTCCTAAAACTAAGGTATATAAAGTGAGAAAGTATTGGTATATTGCAATTCAAAGGACGTAATATCGCCCAGCCTAGTTTAAAATGTCAAAGTCCTGTACACTGTAAATCTAGTAAATAATATTCATATACAAGTCTAATACAACGCTAAAAGATGGAATAACCATTGACTATTTTTTTAAACTTAGTTTTTATGTTATTTTCATTAACATTTGAACGAACTCGTTCAAATATGAATGTTCCCAAAGCGAGTTAGCATGTCTTAATTAACTGGGAGAAAATATCATAGCTCTAGGGAGATTGTATTTCATCTTCAAATAATGATAAGATAGATTTAGATTATTCATTAAAGTAGCTTTCACTATTTTATTAATTATCATGAGATTAACGCCAGGTCGGTATATCGGAATTAAAATCCCACGAGTGGTTATAGAAATATGTTTTCAATTTTTGAGGGATGTAGACGCCACTGTTTTGGTGTTACGAAAATGAAGTGAAAGAGAGCTTAACGTTCTTACTTTTCTGCACCAACAGGGAAAATGAAAACGGACATACGCCATGCTGTGTGATATGCGGGACATTTTGCGGCGGTATGGTCTACATATATTGCAATTTTCAACTGCCAGGGGTCCATTAACATGCTGCCAATGGTACACGGGATCTCTGTTTCTTTACACACCCGAAGGACTATATTCCAGTCTATGTCAGCCATAACAGCCATTTTAGTCGAAACTCAAATCGGTCCGCAATGAAACCCATGAAACCTCGGGTTCTGCACAACATTATCAGTGGTCTTGCTTTAATATGTAATAAGTCAGCCAATATAATCATAATTAGTATTAATAATTTATTTTGACCGTTATCTATTTGTTAGTCGGGGGATTTTAGTTTTAATTAAACTGTATATAATATCGATACCGTTTGTTACCCGACATACAAAAGTGTGGCACTCTTATGTGCTAACTCTTTCTGGGACATCTAATAACACCTCCAAATGTTTGAAGATTTCACAAAGCCAATAAACGGTCTTCATTGCATGTTTGTATTTATATAACTAGACTCTTGACATTTTGCTGGTGCGCATTGTGCACCTATTTTGATAAATGTTCTTGGAACAAGAAACAAGTAAAAAATTCGATTGGTGTAATATATATGTTATTCCGATTAGTGATTGGGCAAGCTCTATAAGATTATATATTTGTGTCGAGATTTTAAACCCGTTTGTTTACTAATATTATTTTCATTTTTCTCATATATGTTGACAGGTTAACACAAAATCGGCCCTGACTTAACGCATACTTTATCGGCGATGTAAATTTTTCAAGGAAGCCAGCTTAAAATCCAATAAAATAAGACGGTAGTGCAGCAGGGTGGGCGACGGTAGGATGGTTTTGTGAAGGGGGGAAATTCCACATGTTATTTGAAATGTGTACAATGCCAATTCCTTGTTTTCAGACCTATATTTCTGGTCAAATAAGACATTACAAATATGCCCCCGGCCTCCGAGAATCTTTGCTTCTCCAAAGTGAAGGGGTCTGTTGGTTTTAAATGTGGTAATAATGGGTAAGGTATCTTGTGTATCGTCCCATCCAATTATTAAACATATATTCTTGCTAGTATTCTAGAAATCTCTTGCAGGTTAATGCTTTAACAATTAACATTACGAGTAAGGTCAGACAAAACCTCGACTTGACTTATAAGAGAGAGAGGAAGTAGGCATGTTTATTCTCTAATATTAGATGGGTTTTTAGTCTGGAATTCAGTTCATTATGCCAACAGTTCTTCGCGTCTACCAAGAACCAGGTCCCCAATTCCATTACGCAACAGAAAAACAAATCTGCGTTAATGATTAAATAAATCAATGTACTAAAACCCAATGAATCATTAGCCAAATTTCAGCTATGGCCAGTACAGACTAGTCAATGAAAAGAAATGGGTATTAACGTCTTGCTGTTTAGCGCCAATCGGGCTATTGAAGTGGGCTTTGGGGGAATGTTGTACGGACAGCAGCTCTGTGACCTACTATTAATGCGATATCCAGCTGTTGTCAGTAAATCTTTAATATGCTGTCACGAGACCTCTTTTTCAAAGCATAGGTTACCCGTAGTATATCATCTTTCAGGGGGAAGACACACTGGAAAATCGACGGACATCGCGATTGGGCCAGAGACCTCGAATCCCGACTCACCGATCTCAATGACTCCGAAGTACAATCATGTTGAGTTACAAGTATCAAAGTATACGTCTGAACTAGCAAATACAAACCAGAATGTCTTTTGTGCCAATGCAGTCATAGACCTAATGTTTGTCAACACATAAACTAACAACCCTAATAGATCGAAACATTTAGCAAACCATTAAAGAGTGAGAAAATTTAACTTCAAAATATAAAGTGAATAAAGCTTTATCTTAAGAAAATACGCCCCCCCCCCTCTCTCTCTCTCCATTCCCTGTAAATTGTATGAGATGACTCGGAAAGAACCAATATAATGTATGGTGGACTTGCTGATAGCAAAGCATGCATTTCAAGAACAAAGTCAGGCGAAAGTCATCAACGATATAACTATACAAAAGGATGACTCATGACTCAAGCACAATAATGCCATCCACTGAGCAATGCGCAACCCATTATACCAAATATTGCTTCATATATAATTTAAAACAAATTATTAAAAGTGCCCCAAAAAGTAGTTTGTTTAACAAAGTTGAAGGTAAACATTAAAATGTAATGTATCACGACATTCCATTCTATTAATCTTAACTAATTTACTGTTTATTTTTATTATGGATACATTCAAGTGAGACACTTATCAGGAACTATTGATGTTTCATCGCTTTTTGTCTATTTGTATGACGTTTGGAATATGGATAATTGGGCCTAACTGTGGCTTTCAATAACAAAGTTAGTCGCTGTGATCCCATGTTTCGCACATAAGGTTTATAAAACTTGGCCATGTTCATGTAGCTTTAAATATATTTACCAGATCGGCATGTTAGCAAGTTCCACACAAGTCTGTATGCTGCCAAACCAAACTTAATTAAATTATTCCCGCTAAGAGAAGAAAAACTACCACTATTTGTTATTTCATGCAGTTAAGTTTCTTGTAATTGTCTTAATCTAGATAGACGATAATAGGTGCATCCATTGAAGTAATATACACGAAGCTAATATGAATTTAAAAGTGTTCTGTTGTGGGGTCTCTAAAACTTGGTGTCGCGGTGTGTATGACGCGGGCTCATTAATCAGAATATCCCCTTTTCGACCCCAATGTTTACCGAATACGTTCCTCACTTGAGATTGTCCAGGATGGTTTCACCTTCTTAGCGGCGTAGGAAAAGCTGTATTCCTTCGGATAGTAAAACAAAACATATACCACTGACCGCACATTAAGTGGAAGATATGTAGCGCCGCTATCGGGACAAATTTCTCTTATAGCACATTGTCCATCTTTGTTAGCTCGGTTGGTGCAGCAAAGTAAGACGCTAAACTCCATTTCATTCCTCACTTTAAACCTGGATGATAGCAGGCCACCTTACGCTGGTAAATAAATGGGATGGTTATAATTAATCTGATGATTTATACGACATTATTTTCAGTGGGGTTACTGGAGGGTTGAATGGCCGAATGGTTATCATAAGGTCTGTCATTGAGTCAACTGGCGCGGTTTCGATTCCCAGGTTGTACGTGACAAGGATTAGGGCCGCCTGTCCAACCTCGTGGGTCCTCCGGTTTCCTCCCACTACTAAATACCCCTACTCGCAAGCGAATTATTGAAATAAAATTGAACCGTATGTTCGTCCCGAAATGGCCTAGTTTACGTCGTGTGGACGTTAAACCCCATTTCTCTCCCCCTCCCCTTCTTTACTAGTTTAAAAGCCTGACTGCCGAAAACTAATTTTTTCACCTATATGATAACTACAGTCATTAGTTGATAAGGCGGTAAGAACATGTGAACTTTGTTTTCTGTATTTTTGATCAGAACACTAAAAATCTTTTATTTCAAAGACTCTGACTGACGTAGTAACCGAAAACCAGCAATACAAACGTGTATCAATTTCATTGTTTTAAAAATTATAAACAGGTATAATATTAACAATTATTATTATAACAAGATATTATTTTATAAACATTGCTTGTTATTACATATGTACAATTTTACACATTTCAAATAAGTTAATACTATAGATAGGTACAATTTTACAAGATTGAAGCAATCTAATATTGGTTTTAAGGTAGACCTACAACACTAAGCAGTTCCAGCAAATCAGTCTACGTGGTCAGTCAGTTAGGTCCTCACAATGTAGTCATAACTAGCATCTACATTCAATGTAATAAAATTCTTTTCAATTATGAACCACATTCACTTCAAAATAGTGGCAAGTCCAGATTAGGGAAATCTAGTATTTTTCAATACTCTAAGGCGTGGGAATATTTATAATCCCGATAATTTGTGGGATTTAAATGATATTTTCTACTAATTGTCTGTTAGCGTGGGTGATTTGGAGATTTGTAGATGAACTTTTATCAGATATAGGGCCACGTCAACTTGTCATTTAGTAAACGACTTTTAAATGCCTCAAGTCAAGCAGTTGGCCGTGCGCTTTTAACAGGAAATGTAAGCTTTTAGGTTTCTTATTTTGC